CCCCCGCTTGCCAACTGATTGCAGCCATGGGAAAAGCCCTGCAGAAACAACCCAGCATTGCTGAAAGCAGTATGGGGGCCACGGGGGCTGGTGCTGTACCCCTGCGAAAGCCACCCAGGCGGCAGAAGCTGCCAACTGGCCCATCGGGAACCACCGACATCTTGCATCAGTGCGTAACCCATGCATATGAGTCAACGAGAGTCCATTTTGAACGCTTTAAGAGTTTGGCCTGCCTTAGTTGGCTTTTCGAACTTGGCATGGGGCGATGGATTTCAAACCTTGCATGGTACTCCCTTTCGTGATCATACATGGGGCCAAATTTCTCACGCTTTGGAACAGCGTGTATTGTACACGCAACTGCCCTGTACCCCGTAGGCACACCCATTGTATCTAGGAAGTAACTAACCATTTGTTTTTATGGATTTTACAGGCTCATAGCGCAACGAGGGGACTTGCCCTGCTTGTGCTCAGATGAGACTTTGGCGACCTACTGGGACTTTTGATTAATGTGAAATGAAGTTAAAGCAGCTTTTGGGACTGTCAAGAAGGCATGATTGGTTTTGGAAAATGGCTTGAGGACAACATAAGATTTGGGGAAGGGGCCAGGGATGGAATTATACATGGTATTGGACTGGTGTCCTCACTACAAATCATCACACCCTGAATTGTTATAATCCCCATGTGTCAAGGGTGGGCCCAGGTGCAGATCATTGAATCATGGGGACAGTTTCCCCCATACCGTTCTTGTGATAGTGAATAAGTCTCATGAGAGCTGATGGTTTTATAAATGGGAGTTCCCTTGCACAAGACCTCTTGCCTGCCACCATGTAAGACATCCTTTGCTCTTCGTTTGTCTTCTGCCATGATTATGAGGCCTCCCCAGCCATGTGGAACTGTGAGACCATTTTAACCTCTTTCCTTTATAAATTACCCAGTCTCAGGTATGTCTTCATCAGCAGCATGAGAACAGACTGATATACAGTTATTAAAGAAGGATATTCTGATTCTAATTATCTTTTGAAATTGAGTGATTAGAATGTGATACTTGTGATAGGAAAGGATATTACATTGCTTGACAAGTCCTATTCAGATTTTCAGTATATTGGCTAGCTGGAGATGAAGGCTTATGCTTTTATTCAACAAATAATAGTTGTCATCTGCTTTGTATCCAGTTTTGGAAGTATAAAGATAGATAAAACTGGTCCTTACACTTACGAAGATTACCATCTATTGAGAAATCCAGAGATACAAACATTATAGTACAATGTGGAATATCCAGTGACAGCTCTGGACTTGATGAGATTATACAGGAGTACTCTTCCTATGAAGGAGGGTTGTCAAGGAAATCTTTCTGGAGAAGGTAGTATCTTGGTTAAATCTTAGAGGATGAGTTGAAATGGTAAAGAGAGTAGCAGGAGTATCTTTTTCTTTTTTCTTTTTTAGAGACAGGGGCTTGCTCTGTCACTCAGGCTTGAGTGCAGTGGTGAAATCATGACTCATTGTAACCCTGAACTCCTGGGCTCAAGCAATTTTTTCACCTCAGCCTCCCAAGTAGAAGGATTACAGGCACAAGAGTATCTTAATAGCAGAGAAAACATCACGAAAGCACTGAAGAGAGAAACAGTTTGTTAAGTAGTATGAAGTAAAAGGCAGGGAATAGGTAGATGAGGGCTTCATATGAAATTATAAAATGCTTATACCTAATTATTTTATAGAAAATGTGGAGTTATTGAAGAATTATAAGCAGATTTAGCTCGTTCAAAATCCATCTTCTACCTATCATCAGGATAGTAGGTAGGGAGACTAGTTAGATTGCAATTACAATAAAGTAGGAGAGAGATGATTAAAGCAAGATCTAGAGAAACAGAATTAGAGATGAAACCTATAGGACAAACTTACAAAATAATTGGGAGGCAAAATCAGTAGGACTTCTTAATTGGAGTATATGTAGACTTAAGTGGTATGGCAGTTTTTTTGGTTGCCTATTCAATATCCAGTCTTTCTTAGTTATAGATCCCTACTATTATTTGGACTGTCAGTGTACTCAGCAAGAGTATATTTGCCATTTTCCCTGTAATGAGGCCTTTTGACTAAGTTCTTGCAAATAAGGCTCCTAAAAAGGAGCTGACGAGGCTGGGAGATGTTCCCTTTGCCTTCACTCCTTTCCTACTACCCTGAAGCTAACACGATGGCTACAATTGGAGGAGCTCCCTTGGATCATGAGGTGATTTTGAGGATGCAAGTCATGAGCTAGGTTGAAGGAACAGCAAGTTAGAAGAAGCTGGTCATCATTCTGGAGCCTCTGTACTAGCCTTGAGATTTTATGTTGAGAGAATAAACACAAAATGTGGTTCCTCTATCAGCAGCTTCAGTATCACCTGGGAAATTGTTAGAGATGCAAATTTTTGGCTCCATTGCAGACCTGCTAAGTAAGAATCTCAGGGTGAGGGGTGGAGCCAACAATCTGTGTTTTAATAAGCCCTTTAAGTCATTCTGATGAATACTAAAGGGAAATATTGCCACATATTCAAGTCTTTGCAGCCTTTCAGCTAAAGTAGAATTTAATTTCTACTTTATTTCCAATTTGACTCAGTAGTAAAACACAGCAGTAGATTTAAAGCAAACCTGGATAATTAACGGGAACAAGGATAAACTTTTTTTAAACATTCACTATTTTAAATAAAGTATTAGAGCTGGATTTTCTAAGTGTTTTCTGAAGAATAGCTTTTGGGGATTCTCAGCACAAAAATGAATTCTGTGATTTGTTGTTTGTGAAATGAATGCTAAGTTGGAGATTTGATGCAGAAGTTATACCAGTAAGAAAACATGACAGTCAAATAGATGTGAGCTAAGCACACATCTATAACTGCCCTTGTTCATTCCTCCAAACTGCCCTTGTTCATTCCTGGACATAGGCTGAACTAACTTTGGGAGGAATTTAGTTTATAGTTTCCCTCTGAAACAAAGATGATAACCCCCCTCTCCAAAACAAACCCCTCCTTGCTTGGGGTCCAGACTGCCTTTGGAAAACTAACAGATCAGCCACAAGATGAGAAATTATGGCTTAGGAGTCATGCGGCCAGAGGCCACAAGGTTCCTAACCTCCCTAATTGCTCCTGTGGATAACATTACTACTGTAAAACCTAAGCTTGGTATTTGAGATATTTTTCAGATCCTGCATGCTGATGGATTTGCTGGTGCCACCAGACTGGTAAGCTAGCTCATCTGGTCTTGTGGTCCCCCATCCAGGAACTGACTCAAGAGGACAGCTTAGACTCCCTATGATTTTATCCCCTACCCAACCAATTAGCATTTCTCATTCCATACCCCCCTGCTCAGCAAACTAAATAAATAACCCTAGCCTCTGAAATTTCAGGGAGGCTGATTAGAGTAATAATGAAACTTTTGACTCCCATTTAGCTGCTTCTATGTGTATTAAATTCTTTCTCTATTACAGTTTGTTTCCCTGTCTTGATAAGTCACCTCTATCTAGGCAATGGGCAAGAAGAA